TTTTGTCAAGCCCAAACTGTAGAACTCGGGGGCCACCAGGTAAAGCATGAATTCATGTACATGCTGGAGTGCCCGGGTCCACTCCTGGGACGTGACCTGCTTTCTAAGCTAGGAGCTCAGATCTCCTTTAGCCCATCGGGAGAGGCTCACCTACAAGTTGGCACCCCAGACCTCATAGCAGTCTTAGTTCCTGGGAAGAACATCGACTATATAAGGAAGCGGAGGAAGGCCAACGGGAGCCCACAGAGGGAAGGGGGATTGACCTTCGAAAGAGATACCCAAAGGTCTGGGCAGAAGACAACCCACCAGGATTGGCAGAGAACAATCCGCCTATAATTATAGAACTGAAGCCAGGAGCCGGACCGAATCAGATCCGCCAGCACCCCATCCCCTGGAAGGCCAGGCTGGGCATCACAGAGGCAATCCAGAAGCATCCGAGGGAAGGTATACTTGTCCTGTGCCAGTCTCCCTGGAACGCGCCCTTGCTGCCAATGAAGAAGCCAGATGGGAGCGGATACAGGCTGGTATAGACCTGGGAGCCATGAACGAGGCAACAATCGCCCTGCACCCCATGATACCGAACCCATACATGCTCCTTAGCCAGCTCCTGCAGGAGGCGGCCTGGTTCACCTGTTTGGACTTGAAGGACGCCTTTTTCTGCCTCCGACTTGCAAAGGCGAGCCAGCCACTCATTGCTTTTGAACGGGAAGACCCCCACACTGCAGCAAAGACCCAACTGACCTGGACCAGATTGCCACTGGATTTAAAAATTCACCCACTCTCTTCAGAGAGGCCCTGGCCAGAGACTTCAAACCATTTACTGATACAGAAACGGACCTAGTGCTGCTACAATATGTAGATGGTCTCCTACTAGCCGCCCCCACATTGGACCGGTGCTGGGAGGGCACCTGCCAGCTCCTTGAACTGCTAACAAAGGCAGGGCACCGGGTCTCATGGAAGAACGCACAGGTGTGTCAGGCCCAGGTAAAATATCTCAGATTCCTCATTTCCCACGGGAAACGGGTCCTGGGCCAGGAAAGGAAGCAGGTCATAATGGCCCTACCAACTCCAGCCACACGGAGGGAACTTCGAGAGTTCCTGGGGCGGCTGGGTTCTGCCGAATCTGAATACCAGGTATGCAGCATTAGCCAAACCACTTTAACAACTGCTAAAAGGCCCAGACAGAGCACCCCTCTATGGGAAGCTGAACAGGAGAAAGCCTTCCAGGCTATAAAATGTCATCTTGGGCCTGCGCCAGCCCTAGGGCTGCTAGAACCCAGTTGGCCTTTCAGCCCCTACACCCACAAAAAGGAGAAAATAGCATTAGGGGGTCCTTACGCAACCAATGGGACCGTGGCAAAGGCCAGTTGCACACCTGTCTAAGCAACTGGACAACGTAGCAGCAGGCTGGCCGCCCTGCCTGAGGGCCATAGCTGCAGCTGTCACTCTCTTACAGGAGGCAGACAAACTAACACTGGGGCAAGAGATCAACATATTTGTTCCCCACGCGGTATCTAGCCTTCCGGCTGGACAGGGACACAAATGGCTCCCCGACCCGAGACTGACACAGTACCAGGGACTTCTCCATGAGAATCCCTGAGTGACAGTCAGCACTGTCTGGCGAATAAACCCAGCTACGTTCCTCCCTGCTGAGCTGGGAGAACCAGACCACCACTGCCTCGAGACAACTGAAGAGGTGCACGCCAGCCGACCCGACCTGCGGGACCAGCCTCTGGACAAGCCAGACTTAACGCTCCGCAGCGATGGGAGCAGTTACATGACTGAGGGGAAACGAATGGCGGGTGCGCTGTCGTGGACAATGAGAAAATAATTGCAGCAAAGCCCCTGCCGGCCGGCTGGTCCGCCTCTGGGCATTAATTAGGGCGCTTGAAATAGCAGAAGGAAAAAGGGGCAATACAGACTCTTGGTGCGCCTTCGCCACCATACACATCCATGGGGCAATCTACCGAGAGAGAGGACTCTTAACAGCCAAGGGAAAAGAAATTAAAAACAGGGCAGAAATAGTTCGACTGCTAGAAGCAGTCTGGACCCCTGTAGGAGTAGCAGTAATGCATTGCAGGGGCCACCAGAAGGAAGACAGAAGTAGTCCAAGGGAACAGAAGGGCAGATCAAGCAGCAAAGGCAGCAGCTACAGAAAGGGAGGCCCCGACAAATCCCCGTACCCCAGTCATAAAAGGTATCCTATTAGAACTGAACCTCAATCAACCAGACTACACCCCAGAGGAACAGAAATGGGCCATACAAGAAAACTGCCTCCAAATGCCCACCGGCACATGCAAACTGCCAGGTGACCGATCGGCTCTACATACCCCAAGGCCAGGCCAGCAATCTCATCAGGCAATGCAGGCCATCACACGCCTAGGGAAAACACCTCTAGAGGCCTTACTCGGGAGGTATTACTACTTCCCTAACATGTCTGGACTATGTGCAGTGGCAGCGGCTCAATGCCTGGCCTGTGCCAGGAACAATGCACCAGGTCACCTGAAAAGGCTTCCTGGAATACAACACAGGGGGAAACAGCCTTTTGAAGACCTACAGTTTGATTTTACTGAGATCAGACCAAGCCGGGGATACAGATACTTACTCGTATTAGTCTACTTTCTCTGGATGGATAGAAGCATTCCCCACCAGGACAGAAAAAAGCAGAGAGGTAGTCAAGGCCCTCCTCAGGGAAATTATCCCCCGCTTTGGGTTGCCTATGACCATTGGCAGCGACAAGGGGCCAGTGATTGTTGCAAAAGTGCTCCAGGAACTAGCAGCACAATTAAAAATTACTTGGAAGCTACACACTGCTTATCGCCCTCAGAGCTCAGGAAAGGTGGAACGCATGAACCGGACTCTAAAAGAAACCCTTGCAAAGTTCCATCAGGAGACCAACCTGCCCTGGCCAGACCTGCTACCCTTAGCATTATTCAGGGTATGAAATGCCCCTAATGTCACAGGGTATACACCATTTGAGTTGGTTTATGGAGGCCACCAGCCATACTACCCCTACCTAGAGGAGAGCTTCAGATTATAGGGGAATCAGGGCAGACTAAGTATGGTCCAGAAGCTAGGGGAGACACTTAGCCAGATACATCAGGCCGGATTAGGCCAAGGACCCTTACCACGAGGCGGGCAGCCCACTCACATAAACCAGGGGACTATGTGTGGATTAAAGACTGGAAAAAGAAACCCCTCCAATCCACGTGAACCGGGCCCCATCGTGTCATACTAACAGCCCCTACTGCACTTAATGTTGCAGGAGTCACCCCCTGGATCCATCACAGCTGAGCCAAGAGGGCAACAGAACCAGCGGGTTCCAGGAGGATGGATGGGGACCCAGAGGACCAGCCGCCATGGTTGCTGACCCTGAAGCTGAAAAGGAAACCAGGCATTGACGGAGGCTCAGAGAAATGGACAATTGCCCAGGATGGTACCTGACTGCAGTGGGAAGTTTTGCTATAATATTAGGAATTGGACCGATGACTATAGCCCCACAGAATGGAACACCTGGAAGCAACTGGCTTTGGGGGAATATATCTTGGGTTTGTCTGTCTTTTGGATGCTTAATATGCTTTGCTTAGCAGACCCTGCCCCAATTCAAGCCCCTGTAGCAAGCTATAGATTCCCTGCATAGCCCTTCACATATGCCACCGCTATGACTGCGGAATTCCTACAATGCTTTCTCCCAGGTAGCAACCAGGCTGGGCCCCACACACGTTTCTGGGACAATAAATTATATGTGATAGGGAAATTGGGAGGGACTGTTGGATACCAGAGTCAGAAGTGTCAGGCATACAGGTCCCTGGGTAGACAGGTTTGTTGGAGTACCTCATAATATGGACCATAGTCCACTGTAACCAGGCGGGCCACGGCCAAAATACTGGCCCTGAAACGGTATCAGTAAAGATATCAACTCCTACAAAGGTCTGAAGACCCAGATTAGAGAGATCTGTATCATGATGCAATTGGCAGCAATAGCAGCTAATAGCATCAAAAGGGGGAATGATAGAGGAAGTAAACCACCATTTTAATTGAGCCCCCATGTTAGAAATGACCCCTTTCGCTTCCTGCTTCTATAAATTGCTTATAGAAAGCAAACTGGGTGACGCAGGTTCGGGTTTCCCGGAGCAGGCAGGTTTCCATGTAAGCCAGCATCCCTCTGTGTGGGGCCTCTGTGGGTATCAAGCTTCCCACTCCACTCCACACCTGGCCCCAGCTGACCACCTGGCAGCCTCGGCCTCCTCTGGCCTCCGCAACCAGCGAGCCCACGTGGCTTCAGCTGGAAGGGGCACTTGAACACTCTGGGCCCTCGGAGGCCACTGGATCCTAGCCCACAGTGCCTTGACTCCGATAGTAAAAGGAGCCAACTTCTCGGTGACGTTCTCTGCTGCACTGGCAACTTAAAATCGAAAGACAGGGAAGACACCTTGGGAGGCTGAATCTTCAACCTGGCTACCGCCTAAGGAGCCGAGCGCCTGGCAGAGGCGCTACTCCCTGCCAGCCTCTTATTTGATGGGAAGCGGATCAGCGCCGATTGCCCTAACCCAGAATGGCAGGTTAGTCCATCGCTACATAGAGGTGGAGATAAGAACGCTGGGAGACGTCAAGATGAGAAGAACGAAAGCATCCTTTTCTTCATCCAACATGGAGGCATAAGTTACAGAAGAGAGAGACTAAGCCGAAAAGACAAAGCATCCAGATGGCAGAAACAGCGGACCTAGGGGGGGTGGCCGAAACTGACACTAATCTCACCCAAGATGGCGCCGGAGGTTATTAGCGGGAGCGGGAGAGAGGCGGTGCTTGCCCTGGTCCAAGATGGCGGCAGCGATTGAGGCGAACAGAGGGGCGGGGAGCGCTGGGAGCATCTTTGCCCTCCTCCATGATGGCGGCCGCCGTGGGCCTGTCCCGGGCCCCGCCCCGCGGCCTCAGCCCCGCCTCCTCGCCCCTCCCACCGCCTCCTCGCCCCTCCCACCGCCATCTCTCAGGGCCGAGTTCGGGCGGTGGTGCTCGCAGTAGGGTTGCGAGCTTCAGGCTTTAGCCATGGCGGCAGCGGCGGTGACTGCTGCGACCAAGGGGAATGGGGGAGGCGCGGGCCGGACTGGGGCCGGCGAAGCCAGCGGCGCACGAAAGAAGAAGGGCGGGGGGCCTGTGGCCACGGCGTACCTAGTTATCTACAATGTAGTGATGACAGCGGGGTGAGGCTGGGTTGAGGCTGGGGCTCGGGGAGGCGGGGAACGAGCCTGGCTGGTGAGGGGGCTCCGCGGGCGGCGGAGCGGCCGGGCCGGCCCACCGTGCGCCGCGCAGCCGGGCGGCCCGGACCCGGCTTCTGGGCGCTGAGGGCAGCCGGTCGCTGAACGGCCATGGTGCCTGCCCCGGACTGCCGCCTGGGCGCGGGCCGAGCAAGTTCCCCGGCAGCGGGTGTGCCCCGAGCAGGAGTTCGGGGCTCCCGCGGGGCACGGGAAGGCTGCCCAGGCGCGGGTCTGGAGGGCCTGGGGAGCACGGGGCGCTGGTCACTGGCCCAGGCCTGGGGGCGGTGTGCGGGGCGATCCTGCAGCGCGGGGAGCCTGGGCGGCCAGTCACGAATGGCGAGCTGTTTCCCCCTAGGGAGTGGGGAGAGCTGTGGCTGCGGAGTGACCATGTGTTTAGGCGGCTGTTTTCAAAATCCAGGCTGAGCCATATATAATCTGAAAGGTAATGGAAAAGCTTTCAAAGTTTTTGACCAGTGACGTGAGCAGAGCTGTGCTTCAGATGAGTTTAAACTTTTTTTAAGGATAGATTGGGGGTGGGGAAGGCACTGGAGGTGGAAGGCAGAGCTCCTGGGGAGGAGGGCAATAGATCGCCAATCGGGTTTACCCTCTCTCGTTTCTCCCTCATTGCAGTCCATTCCTTGTCCCAGCGTGTTTTTAGTTCTAGTTCTGACACTAATTAGATGTGTGATTTTGGATAAATTTATTTCTCTTGGCTTCCGATTTTTCATCTGCAAAACTGAAGGGTTTGGCTCAGGGATCTTCCGGGTTCCTCCAAGTCTTTGATTCCATGATTTTTGGTGAGGGGGATCACAAGATCAGACCATTTGTTATATATTTTTAAATTTGACTTGTGTGTAAAACATTTTCCTTAATCTTTTTCTTACGAAATTTTCAAGCGTAAAGAAAACTTGAAAGAACTATATAGTGGACATCCATTTATTTATTTTTTTTAATCCTCATCCAAGGACATTTTTCCATTTTTTGTACAGATAGAGTAGGAGGGAGAGAGAGGAAGAGAGAGAGAGGGAAACATCGATGTAAAAGGGACACATCGAGTGCCTGCCACCCGCACGACCAACCAGGGCTGGGGACAAACTGCAACCGAGGTACGTGCCCTTAGCGGGAACCGAACCTGGTCTCTCCGGACCGCAGGCGGACGCTCTAACCGCTGAGCCAAGCTGGCCAGGGCTGGACATCCATTTTTATTTGTTTTTACAATGGGCAATGCATTGGCGGGTGCAAAATTCAAAATATATACAAGGGCATATGGTGAAAAATGTCCTTCTCTGTCTTCCCTTGCACCCAGACCCCTTCCCTGGAGGCAGTTTATTTTGTGTATCCTTGCTGATACAAGTAAAAATGTATATGCATTTCCCCCTACCCCCATGCCCATTTTTAAAACGCAAGTGCTAGGGTCATATTAACAGTTCGGCACCTTGCTTTTTCACATACAAAAAAAAAATACATGTTAGGAGAACCATAGGCTTTATTGCTAGTATTAGAAATCTAGAGCCTATTTCTCTCTACTCACAGGCCAACAAAGAAATATTACAGACCCTTGGCTGGTTTGGCTCAGCGGTTAGAGCCTCAGCCCATGGATCAGAGAGGCCCGGGTTTGGTTCCCCCTAAGGACATGTACCTTGGTTACAGTTTGTCCCCGGCAGGGTTGGCGTCCTGTGGGTGGCAAAAATAAGTATATTACAGATGCAAATTTTCTTTGTCACATATGTGGTCACAATGATTTTAAAAGAGTATTCAGGATTCTGTATGTATTTACATTTATATGTAACATTCTTGCCTTAACAAGGGCATTGATGAGAGCATTGGACCTGGAGAGGGATTTTAGGGTACATTGAGGAAGGAAGAAGTCATTATTCCTGGGCAATGAATGTAGAGAAGAGGGTGGAGGGTAAGAAGTGATATCTAGAAAGAGAAATTGGGACTGTGAGAGTAAAATAAGCTTTTTTTCTAGGCTGCTAATGCTGGACTAGTTACACCATTAAGGAGTTCGTTTTTTTCTTTTATAAATTGTTTGGTGTCTTTGTATGACATTTTGTAGAAATAACATACAATACCCCATTATATAGTTGAGAATATACAGATAGGTAAACCTATTAGTGCCTTCAAGGAGACATACCTTAATAAAGGTCTATTTGTTTCCTTATAGAACTTAAATGAAAAAATTTCTGGGCCTGAGAAATTTATTTTTGAGAAGGACAGAAGAAAAGAAATATTTACAGTTACATATGCCTAAGTGTTTTCCTGTTTTGCTTTTTGTATTGATCTGGATTTCTTTACTGAATTGATTTTGGGAAATTCAACTTAAAAAAACCTTTTATTCTTTAAAAAAAATCTAACCTATTCTTGCAATTTAAAAAGGATAGATTTTAAGTTATGGGTATGTTTCAGTGAGATACTTGGAAAATGGCTTAAAACATCTTCTCTCCACCCTATTATTATTACTGACCTTTTAACTACACAAGCCATTTAAATTTTTCCTTAACACTTTAGTTTTCCTCTTGTCTTAGACTCTCTGGCATTACTTTAGCTGCTCAGGGACCAGTTTAGATTATTCCTTTCATTTTGGCCTTGTTCTCAACAGGCAAGGTTGCCAAAAAGCCGAGCTCCAGATGCGTGAGGTGCCACTGTGCTTTTTCAGAGTGCTCTTGTACGGTGCAACATTTCTGTGTATTGGCGTTTGAGAGTTAGAGTTGGTAAATCCAGATCACTGATTCTTGAACTCACCATTAGCAATATCTGTAATGACTACATCTTCCTATTACCTTAAATCCTACTTACCTTTTTTTTCTGATTGCTCTTTTTTCTCTTTTTCTAGGTGGCTTGTTATAGCTGTTGGTCTCGTCAGAGCATACCTGGCTAAGGGCAGCTATCATAGCCTTTATTATTCAATTGAAAAGCCTTTGAAATTCTTCCAAACAGGAGCCTTATTGGAGGTAGGTCCTGAGATTTGTTGTTGTTGATTTCTATTGTTATAAAAAAAAAAAAATGCTACTAAATTATATTGAAGTAGCCTCATCTGTTGGATTTGCTTTAAATTTTGAATACTTGCCTTATAGTGTACTATAATGGTGATATCTGGACCAACTTTTTGATATTCTAGATGAAGTACAATCTCATTTAATTTGTGTTACCTGGAAAATATTTTACATTCTACTTCTGTTGGAAATCAAGTGAAACAAGCTTATATTGGGATTTTTAAAAATTCTACAGACATACTAGGGAAGTATTAGCAAACTCAGATGCTTTAAGGGGCCAGGCATTTAATGGAGACAGGAAATTGCTGGGTATAGTATGTCAGGAGTGGTAGATAAAAGAAATGGCAGAGCCTGTTTAAAGGCATCCAAATTAAAAAATGTTTTTAAAAAAATATGTTTTGTTTTGTTTTGTTTTTTTAGTGAAAGGAAAGAAGAGAGAGAAACATTGATATGAGAGAGAAACATTGATATGAGAGAGAAACATCGATTGGCTTCCTCCCGCAAGCCCCTACTGGGATCGAACCTGCAACCTGGGCACGTGCCCTGACGGGGAATCGAACAAGGCCTCATAGTCCATGGGACAATGCTCACACTGGCCAGGCTAAAAAATAACTTTTTAGGCAAAAGCTTATTAATTTTCCTTTATTAAGGGTATCTCTAGTCCTGTTTCCTGGGGCCAGTATATGTTAGGATTTTTGAGCTGCAAGTGATAGAAACCCAATTCAAACTATTTTAAGGAAAAAAAGGAGTTACTGGTTTCTGTGGTTGATAAAGATAAAGGTTCAACTTACAAAATCAGAGGAACCACCTCAGGAATGAGAACCAAGGGTTTGACATTGCCACACTCTTTCCATCTCTTATCTCTGCTTATCTATTTCTTGTTGAATGTTGGTTTTAGACTCTCCTACTGCAGACTGCCTTCTCCACATAGTAGGAAACAGGGAGGGAGTTGATTTTTCTGAGCATCTGGTGTCCCAGTTCTAGGGAAGGATTCTGGTTGGCCTTACTTAGACCAATCGCTCTTGCCAGTGAGGCAGGTCTAGGAAAAGGGAAGTGAGGATAGCTTTGGGCACTCAAAGTTAGTAGCTACCATGGTTTATTATGGTGAAAAACCTTCAGGCTGAAGAGACCTGGTATTTCGTCTCATTTCACTGAGCCTCCAGGGCAAGCCCATTATGACATTCTGAAGGCTATATAAGAAAAGCATTTACATCCATGATATGAGTTCTGATACCTCAACCTCTCACCCTCTCATTTGAAAGCAGAAAATTTTAGTGGTTTTTTTTTTCCTCTCAGGAGGCAGAGAGATTTCAATACTGTGTACGTACACATTTTTGGGAGATGGTATGATGAAATGGACTTCCAACGGGAGTCTGAGTACCCTCATTCTAAGTATGCTGTTTTTACCAACTTAACTCTATGAATTTGGGCAAGTCATTTATCTCTTGTTCATCTCATTTTCTCATTTCTAAAATAATAATGTTAAAGTAGATTTCCAAAGCCCTTTCCTGTCCTAATAGTTTGAATCTGAGGAAACAAGCAAATTTTAGTGTGGGCCATTTTTGAACTTAAGAATTTTGAATTATTTTTTTTAAACTTCTTTTTATTGTTGAATGTATTATAGATGTCCCTTCTTTTTTCCCACCTTGACCCCCTCCCACCCCTCTCCTGCCTTCCCCACACTATTGTCTGTGTCTGTTGGTTATGCATATATGCATATGACTTCTTTGGTTTCTGTCTTCCTGCCCCCACCTCCCCCCTTCCCTTTGAGGTTCATCAGTTAATAACTAATTTGTACTTCTTAATCCCTTCATCTTTTTCATCCATCCCCTCAACCCCCCTCCCATCTGGCAACCAACAAAAAGTTCTCTGTATCTATGAGTCTTTTTCTGTTCTGCTTGCTCATTTTGTTTGTAGATTCAGTTGTTGGTAGATACGTGTTTATTCCATTTTATTGTTCATATTTTTTTATTTTCTCCAAGAAGACCTGTCAACATTTCATATAATACTGGTTTAGTGGTGATGAACTCCTTTAGCTTTTTCTTGTCTGGGAAACTCTTTATATGATCATCGATTCTAAATGATAGTGTTGCAGAATAGAGTAATCTTGGTTGTAGGTCCTGGCTTTCATCACTTGAAATATTTCTTGCTACTCCCCTCTGGCCTGCAGACTTTTTTTTTTTTTTTTGAGAAATTGGCTGACGGTCTTATGGGAGCTCCATTGTAGGTAACTAACTGCTTTTCTCTTGCTGCTTTTAAGATTCTCTCTTTGTCTTGAACCTTTTGCATTTTGATGATGATGTGTCTTGGTGTGGGCCTCTTTGGGGTTCATCTTGTTTGGGACTCTCTGTGCTTCCTGGACGTATATATCTGTTTCCTTCACCAAGTTAGGGAAGTTTTCTGCCATTATTGTTTCAAATAGATTTTTGATTTCTTATTCTCTCTCTTCTTCTGGCACACCCAAGATGCGAATGTTGGCACTCTTGAAGTTGTCCCAGAGGCTCCTTACACTATCATCATTTTTTTGGGATTTTTTTTTCTTTTTGTTATTCTGATTGGGTGTTTTTTGCTTCCTTATATTCCAAATTGATGGTTTGCTTCTTGGCTTCACCTACTCTACTATTGATTTCCTATAAATTATTCTTTATTTCATTTAATGCATCCTTCATTTTTGACTGGTCCTCTGTTATGCTACTGAGGTCCTCACTAAGTTTCTTGAAATTTTCACTAAATTCATTGAGTGTCCTTATAACCAGTGTTTTGAACTCTGCATCTGTTAGATTGCTTATATCCATTTCATTTCATTCTTTTTTTAATCTTCACCCAAGGACATTTTTTCCATTTTTTTTTGTTCAGATAGAGTGGGAGGGAGAGGGAGAGAAACATTGATGTGAAAGGGACACATCGAGTGGCTGCCACCCGCACAACCCAACCAGGGCTGGGGACAAACTGCAACCAAGGTACGTGCCCTTAGCGGGAACCGAACCCGGGTGTTTCTGGACCGCAGGTCGACACTCTAACCACTGAGCAAAACTGGCCAGGGCTCATTTCATTCTTTTCCTGGAGTTTTGTTCTGTTCTGTCATTTGAGACATGTTTCTTTGTCTCCTCATTTTGGCTGCCTCCCTGTGTTTGTTTCCATGTATTAGGTAGAATTGCTATGTCTCCTATGCTTCCTAGGGTGGCCTGTTGTAGTGGGTGTCCTGTAGGGTTCAGGAGCACAGCCTCCCTGGTCTCTTAGGTGGCCCTCGAGGTGCACCCCTAGTGTGGATTTGCCGACTCTTGGCCTGCCGGGTATTGTCACAACACAATGAACTATAAGCAGGCACGGCTTGGAGTGAGAGGGAGCATCACAAGGGAGCAAATGCTTCTGATCTCTGATGCAGCCTGATTTATTTGCAAAGCAGTTCGCTAGATTACATGGTGTTTTAGGTAATAAGTCCTTGAGATGGCATTTCTGCTGTCCTTTCAGCCAAGCCCAGCATTCTTCTTGTTCCAGCTGTCTCTCACGGAGATACATAAGAAACACATTCAGTCTTGGGCTATAAATCCAATTGGCCCTTTCAGGGTAACAGTCCAACCCAATATGCATACCTTATCTATTCTCATGCGTAGTTTGATCCTTGGCCAGGCCCCGAGAATGCATACATCAAGGTTACATTTTGTTCGTCCACCAAACCCCCAACCTTGTATGGACTGTACACCCTTTTGTTGTAATTGAGTCTTGATTGCTATTGGCTTGTCAATGGGAGGGTTTTACTCAGGCTGATCAGCTGCAAGGACTGGCTGTGCCCACTATCCACTGACCTCTGACTACGTTGGATGATCAGCTGTGCAGCCACCCCCCTCCCCCACCATACAGAGCAATACTTACTTCAGCTGGGCTTTGGTACCCCCTGAGTCCATTCCTTGAGTGTGTCACTTGTGGAGGTCGTTAAGTTGGTGGTGCTTTGATGTGGTCTGAAGCTGTCCACTGGGTGTGCTGACTTTGGGGCAAGGTCAACCACTACCTGTGTTCTACCTTGGGCCACCAGGCATAAGCTACAAAGGGATCTGTAGATGGCTGCTTGTAGTGTTAGGCCTGGGGCCACTTAATGAGAGGAATGGGGCTAGCTGAGGCCAGATGCTGCTTGTTTGAGAGAATTTAGGAAAATCTGAAGCAGGAGCCAAGACAGGCCAATCCTATGGTAAAGCCACTGGAAACAGCTTGGGTGGGCCCAAAAGTTGAGTGAGGCTGGGCCTCAGGGAATCACCAGAGCAAAGCACACTTCTAAGTCAGGTTGTTGGAGTCCCAGATATGCCACCCCTCTGCCAGCCCTGTCGGGGATGGGTTCATCAAAGGAACAACGGCTTCTGCCAGCATGTCTGCCAGCACCCACATGTGGGACCAGCCTGTTCGTGCCTCCTACCAGTCTCGATGTGGCTTCTTTAATTTCGTAGTTGTAGGAATTCATTCAGCTTGATTTCAGGCAGTCTGAAGGATGTTTGTTCTGTAGCTTAGTTGTAATTTTGTTGTGGTTGTGGGAGGAGGGGAGTACTGCATTTACCTATGCCATCATCTTGACCAGAAGTCTAGTTTTGAATTTTTTTGGAAGTGGGCAGTAGTGACTAGTACTTTGTCTCCCAGAGCTTTGGTCAATACAATAGTCTCAAGCTATAAAGAAGGAAGTTTGGGGTCAAGACGATCATAAACTGCCCAGTGCTTAATATGGTAAGAAGTTGTGATACTGTGCCCTGGCCCATGTAGCTCAGTTGGTTGGAGCGTCATCCGTACACTGAAAAGTTGCGGGTTCCATCCTTGGTCAGGGCACATACTTAGGTTATGGGTTTGATCCCTGGTTATGGTGCATATTATGTTTCTCTCTTTTCCCCTTCCCTTCCTCTCTCTCTAAAGTCAGTAAAAACATGTCCTCAATGAGGATTTAAAAGAAAAAGTTAGAATACTTCAATAATTTAAAG